CAATCCAAGTGAGGCACAGCTCGCCTCTGCCTCACCGGCTTCTCTTCCAAGCATTTGAATGGGAAATTGCGAAAATTTAGCGATTTTGAATTTAAAAATCGTCAAAACTGACGAGGCTAAATGAAAAAATAGTTACTTTATAGTGCAAATCACTGGATAAATAGAACCATTCAAATTATTTTATCATCATATATTTTTTTCTTTCCGTAATGACTGTGCCTCACCTGCCTGCCCTGACCGCACGTCACTGGACTGTTGACGTGTCCAGGCTGCCCCTGCCTTGACCCCAAGTCAGCTGGGAGAGTTGTGGCATCCCCCCCCCAACTGCAACCCTACAGAGAACTGAGCCGTGTATAGACGCTGTTGTCGACATACGTGTATGATGCATTCACCTAACGTCCTTTTTGTCTGTGATTAAGTGATGACTTGAGACAATAACAATGACAACAAACTGTCAAGCTAAGGAGAAGACTTGCTAAATATTACACTTTGCCTCCATAAATAGTGTGTTTGTTCACTTCACTGTCGCTTACGGCCATACCAGCCTGAATACGCCCGATCTCGTCTGATCTCGGAAGCTAAGCAGGGTCGGGCCTGGTCAGTACTTGGATGGGAGACCGCCTGGGAATACCAGGTGCTGTAAGCTTTTTCTCACACAATGACTAAGAGACAAACTTGAAAGAAGACAAAAAAATCTTCATAGGTATTTAAAAATATGTATTATTAAACACCATGTCGCTATGAAAATATTAATAATAAAATAATAAAAAACTATATTTGAAGTGTAGTGTATAAACAGTCAGTCACGTTGTGGATCTCTGATGTCTTTGATCACTGGACTACTGAGTGTTGGAATAACTTTATATATATATATATTTGTCAGAATATCTCAAATACAATCACATGGAAAGTTTAGAAAACATACAGATGACTATAATTCACGGTGTCTCTAATTATCATCAGGTCTCAGTTTAGTCCACTTTTTCCAACATTGATCATTAACATCAGCATTTACCTACAGCCACCTGTTGGTACATATTTCATGTCTCCTCTAGAAAAGCTTTGTTCACTTTGTGTTGTGTCCAGAACCCTTCAACCCCTGTAAAACACTGACATCTAGTGCCTCAACTGAGCCCAATCCAGAAATCTGTACATAGTAATCTGATAGTTGCACCATTTTCAAGTTATTCCATATTAAAGTGAATATGAAATGTGACACTGTGCTTTAGACAGAGTCAGGTCATCTCAGTGTCCTTCTATGTAGAGTTCACATTCATATCTCACTAGTTNTCTCAGACAGATGCTCCCCAACCCGCCGAGCCTATTAATGCGCCTGGTCGTTACATACCTGTTCTATTACATACCAGACGCCCCATTGTCTGTGCTACTAATGGGTTTAACAGAAATACTGCATATCCTGTAAACTGTAACAACACACGTAGTCTAATTGCTGTAACTCAAACTCCTATTGGTAAATTTAAAAATTACACTATATCTTAAAGTGACACTTAAATGAAAGTTTGACTTTTGTACATTCACAACAAGACCCTAGGATGCATTTTGGCCAAAGTTTTCCTATAACAAAACCATCAGACAAACAAAACCGAACAGACCGAAAGACCACAAGTGGAAAGTAAGTATGGGGTGGATAGGTAATTTTCTTAAGTTATTGCACTGGCAGTTTTGCACTTTGCTCTGTTGAGCTGAATTATTTCTGACATTTTAGACAGATTTATTGGACTAATTTGTGTTTTGCCTCATGTCATGCTTTATATGCAAATTCATTTTTTTACAATTGAAAATTCTACAAGCCTCTTACTTTTTTTTTTTTTTTTTACAGTTTAGCCATTGCCATGTGGTACCAGCAAGGACTATAAAGGTTAACAGTGGTTATTCCAGCTCTGGATGGAGAAAAAAAAAAGTAGCATGGAGAGGAGTGAGATGAACTTGTACGTGCATTAACATTGAAGAAAGAAACAGAGTTCAAAGTGGAGCACAAGGATATGTTCTGTCCAGTGACGAGCAGTGAGGTTCATGGCTGGTGAGGCCCTGACTTCATCACAATCTGATTTATAAATATATGCACTCTACATAGGAGCATATTTGCCATTTGATTGGCAGCAGTTTACGGGTTATATTTCATAGCTGCATTCTTTACACATACAAGCTGTAGCCCACAAAACGCGTGTTTCTTTTTTTTTTTTTTTTTTTTCTTACTAACTAGCAGTGATCAACAACGGCTCCTTCTGGACAAAATATCCATTACTTTTTTGTAAAGGCTCCTTATGTTCCTTCCCTGCACTTGACTTGCTAACTGTATACAGTACCTAGTCCAGCTTGCTGTCACTGACTCTGCAGCCACGGAGTCACAAGAAGCATGTCTGGGATCAGAGCGCCCCCTGCCATGAGGCAAGAGAACTGCCTGCCTCACCTNTTAATGGACACCCTGCAGCCAATCAGAATCGAGTATTCACCCAGACCATGGTATAAAAGGTTTTAATTCAGAGGTCAGTAACGCAAGAGCAAATTATTTTTCTGAACTGATTGAGGAAAACAGACATAACTCAAGGACCCTGTTCAGTGTATTTAATCATGCCACAGAAGCCCCTACTACTGTTTTTATGGACTCTTCTCCAGAGAAATGTGAGGAATTTTTAAACTTCTTTGAGAACAAACTTTCCAGCATCAGGATGCACATTCCCCTGTCTACTCATGAAACAACTGCTTCTTTTAAAGCTACTGCTCACCTGGAATCTTTTAACACTGTTTCAATTGACACCCTCTCTAAAATTTTCCACAAAATGAAACCCTCCTCCTGTGCATTAGACATCCTGTCTGTGAGGTTTCTTAGAGAAGTTTATAAGTGTGTAAGTCCTTATATTCTTAAATTAATAAACTTGTCTCTTTTAACTGGTTCTGTTCCTGCTGATTTTTAAAAAGCAATAGTTCAACCACTCTTGAAAAAAGCATCATTATCATCATTGCTTTTTTGTAAAGTCTCCTTATCTTCCTTCGCTGCACTTTACTTGCTAACTCTATACAGTACCTAGTCTAACTTGCTGTCACTGACTCTGCAGCCACGGAGTCACAAGAAGCATGTCTGGGATCAGAGCGCCCCCTGCCATGAGGCCAGAGAACTGCCTGCCTCACCGAGAACCTCTTCTCAGGAGTTTACGGTCGCTCAGCACCACGTGACACACATACAGTTGGTAACAAAAACACTGTGCGTGATTATATACATCAGCTGAACTATGGAACATCAGTTCATATATTAAATGTGTTTGAAACATGTTATTGGCGACATACAGACAGCAGCACCCCGTCACTGCATCCAGACAGCGTAGGTAGAGAGGGATTGCGCAATCCCTCACTACCTAGTGAGGCTGCCTGCATTGACAGCCTACGCATGGCGCATGGTGAGGGATTGCGCAATCCAAGTGAAGCACAGCACGCTGCTGCCGCTCTTGTATTGCGCAATACCTCAGTTCGCTGGGTTCCTGCAGTGACAGCCTACGCATGGCGGCCTGCGCAGTGAGGGATTGCGCAATCCAAGTGAGGCGCAGCTCGCCGCTGCCTCACCGGCTTCTCTTCCAAGCATTTGAATGGGAAATTGCGAAAATTTAGCGATTTTGTATTTGAAAATCGTCAAAACTGACGAGGCTAAATGAAAAAATAATTGCTTTATAGTGCAAATCACTGGATAAATAGAACAATTCAAATTATTTTATCATCATATATTTTTTTCTTTCCGTGATGACTGTGCCTCACCTGCCTGCTCTGACCGCACGTCACTGGACTGGTGACGTGTCCAGGTTGTCTCTGCCTTGGCCCCGAGTCAGCTGGGAGAGTTGCAGCCCCCCCGCGACCCTACAGAGGATTGAGCCGTGTATAGATGGTGTTGTAAACATGTATGACACATTAATATAATATTCTTCTGGTCTGTGATTAACTGAAGACTTGAGATAATAATAAGAAGAACAAATTGTCAAATTAAGGAGAAGACTTGGTAAATATTCCACTTTGCCTCCATAAATAATGTGTTTGTTCCCTTTACAATCGCTTACGGCCATACCAGCCTGAATACGCCCGATCTCGTCTGATCTCGGAAGCTAAGCAGGGTCGGGCCTGGTCAGTACTTGGATGGGAGACCGCCTGGGAATACC